TTGTGCGCTTTATAGAATGAACATTTTTTTCTACACTGAAATAACTATTTTTCCTTTCAGGGAAATGAAGACAATCTTATTAAGCTGTGTAAACTGAAAGGGGCTACCGGTAGAGAGATACATTTATGTGTATGTAAGTATTAGAGCGTATGTCATGAATGTACATGATATATCTCAATTGTTTATGCGTTTATATAAACGGACATATTTCATCTCTACGCATAAACCCCGTACTAAATAGTGTATTCGTTGTATTTGAATGACCTTAGTGGTCAAGACCAATACCACTTTACCTTATTTTTATTACCATATATATATAATGTGTGTTTGAGTCTTCGTTTGTTCACCCCTGGACGTTAAGCAGCCAACAATCAATCAACCATCGATCGTTCACTTAATGATAAAATGTAATGAATCTACTAGCTTTAGTATAACATAGGGTTTGCTTTTTAGGGTGAAGAATATTCTTTGTTTTACTGTCTATTATTATGCTCTTCAACTTCATACTTTATTTGTTTTTCTTAACTTTTTTGTTCGAGCGTCACTGATGAGTCTGTTGTAGACGAAACGCACATCTACCTTACAAAATCATAAGTCTTGTATCTATAAGGAGTTTAATATATGACATTTTTATACAGAAATAGGAATTTAGCTTGATCAAACAAGTGGGCTTAGTATTTATACAATTTAGAATCTGTAATTGCATGGAAAATTATAAATTTCAGGGGTCAACATGAGGTCTTCAACATTTAGACAAGTGTGTCTATATAATCTGTCAAACTCTAAATCGACCCAGATCCGAAAAAGTGGTCAATAAATGTTACAGACTATCAGAGATCTTTCATTGCTAACAAAGTCTACAAAGACAAAAAAATGATTGAAGATAAAGTAGAAATGACTGAACTGTTTCAAGGCTTGGGACAGGTACATGGACATGTGAAGGGATTAAAGTAGTTTTTTGGAGATCCTAAACCTTACCCTTTTATCTCAGTCGTTGAAAAAACAAAAGTCATATAAAGGAATAAACAAGAGAAATCAGTACAAAAAAATGCTTAACTCTATAATAACGATATACTAGCTGAAATGTAGTTATGGAAAATGATTGACATAGAATTAACAAATACTTTATACACACGATAAATCTTTTTTAGACAAAGGAACGTCCCAAATGACAGTAGATCCAAATTGTACAATTGCTTCGATGATGCTTCTTGGCGGTTCCATGAACATGTCACCCCATGGGGGAAGTATGGTGGCGGACAGTTTTCGTGAACAGCAATCAATGAACAATGATCCAAATAATAATGATGATAACAAAGCAAACATTACGTCAAAATCCAGTGTTTCTTTTTGTTTGAGACCCAGCATTACAGACAACCACCAAAATCTACATATACCTAAGAATACTAGTATACAAATGTCGAAGACTAACAATACTAGTCTACAAATACCAACGTCTAACACTACTAGTCTACAAATGTCAAAGTATAACAATACTAGTCTACAAATACCAACGTCTAACACTAAACAAATACCAACTTCAAAGAATACTACAAAAATCTCTGTTATTCCAAAGTCGTCAACGCCATTTCTCTTTCCCGCGCCTAACTTTTTCTCACCTTCGAATTTTCTAACACCATTTTATTTGACGACACCGTTAAATACGGCACAAACGGTTTTCTTCCCAGATAGTTTTGACTCTAACCTAGCTAGAGAAAGATTGTTAAACGAACGACCATCAAGTCAAAAAGAAGCAAAGCAACAGGTATGTATCAGTATTACGAAAGGACAGAAGTTTACATTGATTGTTTTTGTCCGAATAATATAGTTATATTTACCACATGAAGTTGAATATGCATTGTTTGCCAAATATATGTAACAGGCTTTCCGTCTACTTGTATTTCATACAAAAAATCACAGAAAAGCAGAGGCGTAAATATTTGTTTAAAGCATCTCATATGACCATGGTCCTGACTTTTTTCATGGTTCAGCGACTACAAAAAACATGCATAAATTTTTTTATCATGTGCATTTCTCACTTAAGAGAAATAGGATAACATTATTTGGCATATAGGGAACCCTTGCAATATCTGCATGTCCGCTAGACAGAATTCGCCTGACCTTGGCCTCATTTCACAAATCCGTTAAAAGTTCAAGTTTTCGTGATAAGGTCCGTTTCTCAGATGCTATAAGCTGTAGATCAACTATATTTGGTGTATGGAATGATTGTAAGGTGTACATGTCAGATTGGCAAGATTGATTTGACCTTGACCTCAATGTCATAGTTTCTTTTGTCACTGTTAAGTTTTAGTGATTAGGTTGGTCTTTCAGATACTATAAGTAGAAGATCTATATTTGATGCGTGAATGATTGTAAGGTGTATATAGTAATGGCAGCTAGGGTTTATATGATTTTGACCTAATTTTTACTGTTAAATGGTCATGTTCAGTTTTCACGATTTGGTCCATTCTTAGACACTATAAACATCAGGTTTATTATATTCGGTGTGTGGAATGATTGATAGGTGTACGTGTCAGTCTTGCAAGGTTCATCAAACCTTGACCTAATGTTCATGGTTCATTGATCAACATTAACTTCTGTGGTTAGGTCTGTTTCTCGGATACTTTAAGCAAGAGTTTAACTATAGTTGGTGTGCGTAATGACCGTAAGGTGTACATGTCCTTCTGGCTGGCTTCATCTGACCGTGACCGCATTTTGCATATGGATTATTGATATTGATATTGTAGGTTTATGTGATACTTGTAGTAAAATCTTAAGACTCTTTATAACAATTCAATCATGATCAGTTAGACAATGTCAATCACTTCTTTTCACATACAATGAAAGTGAATACATGGTAAAACAATACACCATATCCAAACAACAACATGTGACAACATACTTAAACGAAACAAGATTGGTCCAAACACCAACCATGAATTTCAAATAACGCATCACAAGGTTCTTTGTGGTCTAAGACTTACAAAATTTAGTCTATTATAAACGAAATATAGCAAAAGATTTTCATTTTTTTTCAAAACAAGACTTTACTACTTTACTTTACCTGTTGACAATATGACAATATGAAATATGAATGATATATGTTAATCTAATTTACATAATTTCGCAGAATAAGTATGTATAATTTGCTCACATTTCTTCAATTTATTTTAGAAGATTGACGTGCCAGACATTCTGATTACAGAAGACTGACAAACTTGAAAACTATTGTACATTTTGTATATGCATCTTTTGTATATGAATTTAATGGAAAATGTACGTTGAGAAATTAGTGCTTTTGAAATAATTTACTACATATGAATATTATTGTATACTATAAAGTTTAAGTACTGTCGTGACAATGTATTGAAAATTTTATTGTTGCATTTTTTGTGATTTAAATATGTTTGGACAACAGTACCACTTGTATCACTTACAATATTTGGCCTAAATAAATGTTAATGTGGTCGTGCATAATTTTTTTCATTTTGAGTCCTTGATTAAGCCTAAATATAAATATAAGAAGATGTGGTATGATTGCCAATGAGACCACTCTCCATAAGAGACCAAATGACACAGAAATTAACAACTATAGAGGTCATCATACGGCCTACAACAATGAGCAAAACCCATACCGCAGCTATAATAGGCCCCGAAATGACAAATGTAAAACAATTCAAACGAGAAAACTAACGGCCTAATTTATGTACAAAATAATGAACGTAAAAAAAAATATGATACACATATACACAACAAACGACAACCACTGAATTACAGGCTCCTGACTTGGGACAGGCACATACAGAATGTGGCGGGGTTAAACATTTTTTTTTGGCGCCCAACCCTCCGCTGACCTGAGATAGTGGTGTAAGAGCACAACATGAGATTCATTAGATAAATATAAAGCACAAAAACTACGGACAGAAATACTTAAGACAAAAAGAACCGATATGAGCAATTACTGAAAGCTAGTTCAAAGTCAATAACAACTAACAAAAGAGTCCTATATCCAAGACGCAATATCAATCAATGCCATCGACAGTTTGTAGAACCGTTAGTGTTAATAACTGCATAGCAATACAAATTTATTTATGTTTTAATTTATTGATAACAAAATTAAAGTTTACTTGACCACAAATTGATTGGATGAGAACAAATATTATATGACTCACCTTTCCAAAATTATGTTTTATGTTGTTTTGGAAAAAGGACCAATTGACAAAAAATAAATTTCTTATTATAAAACACAATTAGCTCATTCTTTCAATAATATCGCATATCAGATAAACTTTTATAAAAAGCTTATACTTGTTAAATGACTGAATACAAAAAGCATGATGCAATATCTGTTAGATATAAGTTTATATTTCACAAACGTGATATGCTTAACACATGTGAAAATCACTATCTAATCACTGATTTCAATAGAATTTCAGCATGATCAATACACTATGTTGTTTAAAAATTGCTTATTTTTAGGAAGAAATTTTTCTGCTTGTCATAAGCCAAAGTGTGTCCACGAAAACAACGATGTAACAGTACAACCGTTTTAATGTGACGCTGATATATTGAAAAAGCAACAGAAATTAAGAATTACAAAATCATTACAGGAAAGCATTATGTTTTTTTTTTCGTGAAGCTTTATCTCTTGCTATTTTTCTTCGATATTTTTATACTATTAACCCGTTTTTACCGTCGGTGGTAACTACTAATAATGTGTGAAAAATAGCATGAATATACATGTCATAAGATGGTCAGTTAGTTGTATAAAGGCTGATAAGACAGTAACTCAGGTAGATATAATCTCAGACGTGCCTTGTCTTTAATTATTTACTTTTTCATTGAAACTGTACCATCTTCTGGTAGTCGCTAGCTCAATAAATTACAAGAAGTTACATGTAACTACCAACATGAATAAATGCATCAAATTATAGTATGTAGTCCCATTCTGACAGGTTGTATTTTTGGTATTCACTTGGCAGTCAGCTGAACGTACATCTATAACTTGTTTTGCTAGTTTCTCTCCAAAATGACGGAGGAGTATAAACAGTTTGACTCGGCAAAGACTGATAAAATACCTATTGTTCCCGGACTTGTAAAACATATTTCTGGATTGAAGTTCACAGAACTTATTTCAATTGTTATAGTCTTTGTTGTTTCGCTTGTCTGTGTTGTATTTGTGATACTTTACACCAAGGGAAAGCCCGCTGTTGTAATAGAGGAAAATGTATGCGTAACAGCGGCGTGTTTGAAAAGCGCTTCTTATGTCGCTGGAAACATGAATAAATCTGTAGACCCATGTAAAAACTTTTACAAATACGCTTGTGGTGGTTTCCCTAATAATAACCGTCTGGATGCTGAAACGTATTCTAAAACAGTATACACCAAATTATATTACGAAAATGAAGAAAAGTTGAAAAATATTTTGGAGTCTCCTGTTGTTAATGGCAACGAGCATTCTGCTGAAAGGAAACTTAAAGACATGTTTGCGTCTTGCACAAACTCTTATTTGAAGGAAAGAGCCAAGGGATATCCTTTTTTGAACAAAATTTTACCAAACACAGGAGGTTGGTATGTTTTAGGCACGTGGAATAGTTCTACGTGGAACATGCAGAATGCTTTAGAAAAAGTTCATATGGACTACTGGACTAATGCGTTATTTACATTTAGAGTGGCTACTGATTGGTATGACTGGAAGAAAAGGGTTGTAGAGGCATGTATCTATGTTAATGTGTATCTGTTTTTAATTGATATAACGCGAGTTTTGCATTATGGTCTTTTGACATCCTTCAAAGAAAGCACACCAACTACCGTTAGTATATATGTGTAACAAGGATGTTCTAGATGACCCTGTTAATGTTTAAGGAATAGATCACAATCTGAGCAAAAACATCAAACGAGTTTTTAATAATAATTTATAGTAATGTTCAATTCACTAACAAAGACAATAAAAAAGTTGAGTATGAATTAAATTACCTAGCTAAGTATAGTTTTAAAAAAAATTTCGCTACGGGTTTCCATAAACATAAATTCGACGACCGAATATTAGTTTGTCGTATTCCTAAAGAACTTAACCGTAGATTTTACGTTGAATTACCTTATATTTCATACTTAACTAGAAATTAAAAAAATAGGAAAAGCACTTAAATGTTTTCAATTAGAAATTGTTTGTTAAAGATTCAGACACTTAAAAATTACAAACGATTTATATGTCGTAGTACGTAAATATCAACTTAACCTTTCAGATTAAACATGTAAAATTAAAAAAGAAAAAAGAAAAAGTCAGAATAATGAAATAACAATGAAATGATTGAATAGAATTTTATCTAATTTATCGCCAGAAATAAATAAATTTCACTGTCACATATTTTCCTCCCTCGTCGAATGCGAATCGGTCCATAGTGTCTGCTCAACTTTGTTTGCCTCTTCAACTGCATATAAAATTGAAAAGCCCCTAATACTAATAACATCAGATGTACTGGGAAATATTTTCTATCATCCAAAAGTATGTCTCCGTCCCTTTACCCAAGAAAAGTTATATTGTTGTCGATGATACATTTTTCAAATTCTTTAATAAATGTCTCACAATCAGGTAATGCATGCAACAAATGATATTCTTCTCATTTTCGGGACTTTTCTAGTTTTGATTTATATATTTCAATTTGAACTGAGTCTATCTGTTTCTGTATTTTTACATTTAACTTTTATTTCTGAAAAAAAAATGTCTTCTGAGTTTTAAAAAATTCTATTTTGAATATGATGTTTGATTTCCCGACTGGTTCTTGTTTTTTTAATAATCTTCGTCAGGTACGTTTGAGACCAGAAGTTTTAAGAGGGAAACCAAATACATAAAATGTCTGAAAGCGTCAAAACCTAAAAAAGACGATGTGAATATATCTTACATTCTGAGCCAGAGTTAGTCTAAGGGGAAATATATCACTAAATACGTAATTGTTGGGCCAAGCTGACCTGCCCAATATGGCATGGTATTAGTTGCAAAAATTAAATATTTTTCATTTATATGCAATATTTTTAATTTAATTGGTATATTTCTTCATTTAAATGCAATGTTTTTTTATTTGAATGGTATATTTTTTTCATTTAAATGCAATATTTTTTATTCAAATGGTATAATTTGTCATTCAAATGCAATATTATTTATTCAAATGGTATAATTTGTCATTCAAATGCAATATTTTTTTTCAAATGTAATATTTTTTATTCAATTGGTATAGTAGTTTTTGTCGAGCCTGCGACTTTTGTCGCAGAAAGCTCGGCATAGGGATAGTGATCCGGCGGCGGCGGCGGCGGCGTTAGCTAACTTCTTAAAAGCTTTATATTTTAGAAGCTAAAAGACCTGGATGTTTCATACTTTGTATATATATATGCCTTACGAAGTTTCTGTCTGTCATATGTCCATTGTCCTTGACCTCATTTTCATGGTTCAATGACTACTTGAAAAAAAAGTCAACACTTTTTGTAATTTTAATTTCTTTCTTTATTATGAATAATAGGATAACTATATTTAGTATGTGCGTACCTTGCAAGGTCCTCATGCCCGTCAGACAATTTTCATTTGACCTCCACCTCATTTCATGGATCAGTGAACAAGGTTAAGTTTTCGTGGTCAAGTCCATAGATCAGATAATATAAGCAGTAGGTCTACTATATTTGGTATATGGAATGATTGTAAGGTGTACATGTCCAATCGGTAGGTGTCATCTGACCTTGACCTCATTTTTATGGTTCAGTGGTCAAAGTTAAGTTTTTGAGTTTTGGTCTTTTTTTCTAATACTATATGCAATAGGTCAACTATATTTGGTGTATGGAAATATTTTATGATGTACATGTCAGTCTCGCAGGTTTTATTTGACCTTGACCTCATTTTCACGGTTCATTTCTCAGTATTAAGTTTTTGTGTTTTGGTCTGTTTTTCTTCAACTATAAGCAATAGATCAACTATATTTGTTGTATGGAAGGATTGTAAGGTGTATATGTCTGTCTGGCAGGTATCATCTGACCTTGACCTCATTTTCATGGTTCATTGATCAATGTTAAGTTTTCATGTTTGAGTTTGTTTCTTCGATACTATAAGCAATAGGTCAACTATATTTAATGCATAAATTGATTGTAAGGTGTACATGTCTGTATGGCATGGTTCATCTGACCTTGACCTCATTTTCATGGTTCATTGGTCAATGTTAATTTTTCTTGGTTAAGACTGTTTCTTAGAAACTATAAGCAAAAGGTCAACTATGTTTGTTTTATTGAATGATTGTAAGGTGTACATGTATTTCTCGTTTGGTTTAACTGACCTTGACCTCATTTTCTTGGATCATGTTAAGTTTATGTGTTACTTGTAGTAAAGCTTTATATTTAGGACTATCAACATAAAATTAATGGTTAGTAAAGAAGGCGAGACATTTCAGCGTGTGCACTCTTGTTTATTTATATGCAATAATTGCATTATGGGAAATTTTTTGACGTCACAAGGTCAAATTTGCAACAACGTTTGTGATTGGTTGGTAATTGTTTGGATTTCTCCACTTTCTTTCTAAACATGAGTGACCAAGAATTAAATAAACGCGTCGGAATATCGCCCCTCTAACTAAATTTGGCGTTCATGCGAGTTCGTGCACTGGCTGTTAATGCCAATAATAATTATTTATTCGACACGTAATAATAATTAATTTGACACACAACCTGTTCATGGATAGAAAGAGATGCCTGCGTGCATGGCAAAAACGCCTCAAATGAAAACCCTTTCTGAAGAAACTCCTCTCAGTCTACACATTGAAATAAAAAATTAAAAAAAAAAAAAAAAACAGCTAGCCCCCCCCCCCCCCCCCCCTCTTTTCCCCCTCTACGTTCAGATACATGTAATCATGACGTTTTCTGATGCTATATCATTTTTTACTTTTCTTGACCTTTGCAGGAAGGCAAACATAAAAAAGAATAAAAAGCCTTCCAGGACGTTATAATTATTTGGACTAAGCCCCGTCTTTTTTGCTACATGTAGAAAAAAATCACCTAATTACGACAGCAGAACCAGAGACCCACAAGAAGGGACCTGACCTGTGATACTCCGGAACTAATTATTTAATAAAGACAATTCGGGATAAATTGGAACCAGTTACTAACCCATGTTACAACAATAGTCCTATGACATAGGACGTACACTGTATAAGGCGCAAATCATTTTACATTTAGGATTCGTTGCTGAGCTTTTTTTAAATGTTCCCATCTCCGAACCCCTTAAATAAATTTTTTTTCAAGCCCCACAGTAGTTCAATAATTACTATATGTCTTTGCATAAATAAGTATGCAGGGCATATTTCAAAACATATTTTTTCTTCAGGACTTTTAAATGATTTACTTTTCAATACTGCATTTGGAAAGGGGGGAGGGGGGTTATACAAGTTTATTTTGTGACATAGTAAATAATATAATTAGATACAAATCTCTAATGATTTGTATCCAACAAATTATAGAATTGTACGTTTAGCTATTATCTAGACCCGTACAAAATGTATATAATAAGATACATTTAACAGGGGCGGATCCAGAACCTCTGTGTCTAGAGGGGGAGGTGGGGGGGGGGGGGGGGGGTCAGATTTAGATATTTGTATAGAGATGTATATATGCGAATATTGGCAGTAATGGTTATGGTGTGTGTGTGAGGGGAGGGGGAGGGTGTTCAGATCAAAGATCGTTTCTATAGTTCTATATCTTTTAGTTTTTACCATTTCATTCTTTTCTTTATCCTTTGATCTCTATTATATTTGTCCTAAACATGCGTGAAATATTTGCCACTGGACATAAGGCAACCAAAAAACAATCAATGTATTCTTAATATTTCATCATTTTTTTATATGTTATCTATAGGTTTGGTCCCGCCCCTTATCTATTTTTTGCACATTATTCTCTCTATGTAAACCCAATTCCTGTCCTGATAAATGGTGACTCATGCATAGCATCATATGTGGTTATTAAAACAAGAAACATATTCATATTATAATAATTTACTGTATGCTTGGACTTATAGATAGATGTCATTAGTCCCAGATCATATAATAAAGTAGGTCCTATAAAAATATAATAGCATTTTAATGATGATTATATATATGTATATATATTTAACAATGCCAATTTTTTGGAAAAAAGGTAGGGGCAAGGCGTTTTTAAAAACATATTAATAGGACGTGTTTGTTTGTTCTTCGGTAGTGAGCCAGAAGAAGTTCATTTCTGTATTTTTGCATTGGGAAGATCTTCTGGCTCTCTTCCATCTCTTCTTTTTTTATAGGTTGTTTAGACGGCAGAGGCACATAACAAATATGGCGTCGTTCAGTCTAAATGACATTAATAAATTTATGAATGCAGATATATTAGAATGTGTGCTGTGTTATAAACGTTTTTATGGTATGCCAGCCTTAGTAGGACATCCCTGTAGGACGATAAGCTGGATAAATATAAGAACTACACGGACAATAACAGTTAAGGTAGATAGGGTGTCTTCCTCCATCTTGGATTTTGAAATACCAGAAAACAATCGGTCTAGATCTATAATAAAAGGTGCAAATTTTGAGAGTAGTAGGTAATTCATGTGTAAGAATTTTCATTTCAACATAGAAAATGACATATTTTATCATATTTATGGTTGTATTTTACAAAAAAATAGAATACTTTTGTTTGATTCTATATTTTCCAACTTTG